TGGGCTGGTTAATGGGAGCTCTGTCAAAGGGAAAGATCTCTGTAGACATAGGTAGTAGATCCTCGCTAGTACCCCACCTCTCGCTGAGGCCTGCCATTTAGCTAAATTCCCCCAGAAACTGAAGGCAGCAATTCAGCTTCTTAAATCTACACTGGTAAGTTTTGTTTTTTAAAAAATCCAATAATTGGCAACATACAATTCCATTCAAACACACCTAGCTATCATTACTGATGCTGGCAACATGGTCACAGAGAGGATAAGAAGCCCCTTATTTTGAAGAATGCTCAAAATTTCAAGGGTTATCATCCAGGTAATCAAAATCCCATACATACTGTCATGGATACAACCAGAAATATAGGAGAACAGTTGCTGGCCTTGACTAAAAATAGGGCTTGTTAGGTATGTATGCCTATGTTTGAACCAGGCCTGACCAGAATCATCTGGAACAACACACACACAGATCAAAGAAATGTTCATTTACATAACAATGACATGCCTGGTTAAATCTCAAGAGACCACAGACCAAAAATGCCTGTAGGATAACCAATAAACTGAGAAAAAGAAGACTAGAAAACTGTGTTATTGCAGCAGAATAAACTGCCCTAGCTACATTCTGGGTTCTCGAGCCTGTAAATATGGCTGTTAAGACTGTTATGTGCAAAATCTGCATAAAGCTTACACTGGTCAACCTACGTTTTATGAGCCTATGTTTTATTGGCCTTACCCCATTTAGAAGTTCAAGACAGCAAGCGTGGAAGGTACCAGAGAACAGCAAGGCCTTAAAGGAGGGGGAGAGTGTTGCACATGATACTGCAAGATTCACTGGCACCACTTCTCAAGTCAGCTCAGTTTCGACTTCCTTTCTGCCCCGTCAAGTGTTCTAGCAATACCATTGTTTCCAAGTATCTTGTTTTCAAGATACTTTTGCATGACCTTGTGATCTCCAGCCCAAGTTTATTTGGTGACAACATAATGTGGCTTTTTTTACACTGACCTTTAGGTAAAGGTTTCCCTTGCTCAAAAGCTAGTTGAATCCGACTCTAGGGGGCGGTGCTCAACTCCATTTCCAAATCGAAGAGACAGCGCTATCCAAAGACGTTTCCATGGTCATGTGGCCAGCGTGACTGGATGCAGAGGCGCATGGAACGCCGTTACCTTCCCACCAAAGCAGGACCTATTTATCTACTTGCAATTTCTTGCTTTCGAACTGCTAGGTTGGCAGGAACTGAGGCCAGAGACGGGAACTCACTCCGTCACGCGGCACTCGGGTCTCGAACTGCCGAGTTACAGACCTTCTCATGCCCAAATTACCAATCAGTTCTCACTTATTGTCCTATTTGTTAGATATGTTTGCTTCACTTTGGCACAATGTGGGCTTTTATAATTATTGTTCTGATCTTGTGGCATGACCTGCCAGCAAGTGTTAAGAAAGTCTGTGAGGTGGTTCTCAATAACGAGTCTTTGGCTGAATCTGTGGGACTGTATTTTTCTCCTGCCCATGTTTTTGCCGTTGGTTATTGTTGTGATTTTATTTTTAATCTGTACTTTTAAGTTTCGGGCTTTGAAGACATTTATCGTGAGCCACCTTGGACCACTTTTAAGAAAGGTGAGATAAAAGTATTTTAAGGTAGATATTTTTGTGCTACCCTTTAGCCTATTTGGGATTTAGCCTATTTGAGATTTAACTCCAAAAACAAACACACACCAAGCATGGGAAAGTTCCAGGTTAAAGCTCTCTTCTCCCTGCTTCCCAAGGAAGCGGAAAGAGAAGTGTAGAACTTCACGGAAAGAGAAGTGTAGAACTTCTTTAAGTGTAGAACTTCACCTACAAAAGTGTACAACAGCCATTCATTCCTCCGGAAAAAAGCAAACTTGCTCCCTGTCTCTGGTGAAATTATTGTCCTCTTCACCTGCAACCTACCAAAGTTTCCAACTGCAGTCAGAACCAGTGTTCCCTCTAAGTTGAGTTTGTGTGAGCTAGCGCACAGTTTTTTAGCCTCCGGCTCACGCATTTTTGTCTTAGCTCAGGAAGGATGGATCCAGAGCAAACTGATTTATGCTGGAGCCAAATTGCTCACTCACAACCTTAATGCCAGTAGCTCACAAAGCAGAATTTTTGCTCACAGTACCCCACAGCTTAGAGGGAGCATTGGTCAGAACCCAATAGGAGCTGTTGACAACTAAGCCTGTTTGTCTCTGCATATATCCATCCTCACTTTGGTTCTGTTTTAGCCATGCTTGAGCATGAAACATACAGATGCTTACTATTTATGTGAAACAGTCAAGCATTATGTTATTCCAGTCCCCCCCCCAGAAAAGCCTATAAAAGGTAGATCAGAACTATTATTCTCCCCCTACCCCTATACCCCATAGCCCAGCTGCGACACAAATCAGAGACTGGGTGGCCCACACTTTTAACCACCGTGCCTTATGAGGTCCCTCCCTGAACCCTGCCCTCCACAGGCTGAGAGTTGGCAACCACGTGTGGGGGGAGGGCGGGATATAAATCCAATAATAAATAAATAAACCCTACGGAAGAATGTCTGGTTTCCCAATTCAACTGCAGGTAATAACAGATGGATATCACTGGCATTTCTAGAGAAAACTGAGCAACCATGAAGCAGATCCTCATCCTGCTCCACCCTTCTTCTTCAGAAAGGGAGCAGCTGTGTCATGGCACGACCATGAGATGCTGTAACACAAGAGAGTAACATATGACATCATTACTTACGATTGTTGTGGTCCAGTTCCAGAGCAGCTCCCTATAAATAAGTCTTTAACCCGGTTAAAGGAGGCAAGACAAGCCCAGGCAGGGATTACTCATCCCGCCCCTGCAATTCATGAAAGCACCTTAGCTACTATATTTAACATGAGCATCTTCCTCAATGACCCAACAAGTGCCCGGAATATCATGCTCGGATGTGCTTCGTTTCTTTGCTGCAACACCATCAGCGAAAGGTGTGGAAATTCAACTCCACCCTCGGGAAAGGGGAAGAGGGGGGTTGGCCAAGAAACATGCTCATGACGCTGCCCTCTGCTTATCATAAACTGTACATGACTTTCTGTTCAAAGGGGACACAGTGGAACTGCACCCAATTCAGGAGGGTGTGGAGCAAGAAGAAGCTAATGTTCAGCCAGGAATATTACCTTTCACAAGTACCAGGGACAAGAGCCAAAGAATGCCCTCAAATATGGAGATAAATCTTGTCAAGAACACATAGAACAGCCCCAGGGGCGAGTTACCAGTTTCTCACAATTGTAAGAGTGTACCATCAAAGAATACTCATCCAGCATTTGCTGTACTAGAGGAACACTGCTATGCAGCAATCACACTGCTAGTTAGGCATTTTGTACGTATTTTCAATTTTTTTTGTAATCCCGTCTTTCTTCCAAGACACGCAGGGCAGCACAGGTACTGCGCTCTTTTCTCTCAACAATCCTGTGTGGAAGGCTGAGCCAAAAATGACTGAACTTCACAATCTCCTATCCCCCCCCCAACAACAACAACGACAAACTCCGTCAGGAGAACTGATGAATGCTTTCAGTTTTGCTTTCCCTAGTGGGCTACCAGCCCATCGCCTCCAGCCACAGGCAGCCCTTGTGCTGTGTAGTGACTGGAGTGTCAGACAAGGATCTGGGAGACCCAGGTTCGAATCCCCCCTCTGCCATGGAAGCTTCCTGGATGACCTTACGTCAATCACCCACTCACAACCTCACCGGGTTTCTGAGAGGACAGAATGCAAGAGAGGAGAACAAAGTAAGTTGGCTAAGATCCCCCTTGGGGAGAAAAGCAGGGTAGAAACAAAGTAAATGTGCATCCATCTTTTTCCAGCTACCTCAAGCAGGTACCTGGAGCAAGTATACGACTACATCATCAACTAAGCCTACTCAGTCATTCTCACCCAAACTTGTAAGCAAGCACACATCAAGTTTAAAAAAGGATTCCATCCTCAGCACTCCTCAAGTCTCATGCCTTCCCCCTCCCCACTGGCGCTAAAAGCACTTAATATATACTCAGTGCAGTCCAGAGGAAACACAACAAGGAGTCCCACGGGTTCCTTCGAGGGTATGGATCAGAGGCAGCATCAGCTTTTGCCCCCCTAGACAGAGATGTGAAGGAACACAGGGCAACACCCCATCCCACAAAGTGGGTTCCGGCCCAGAGGAGAAGCTCCCGCCCCTATTTGCTCCCCTATATTATCCTCTCGACAATCTTGCGAGGTAGGACGGATCGAGGAGGCTTGGCTCAAGATCACCCAAGGAGGATGGAGGGTGTGTGACCTGGACTCACCTCCAGGACCCGCATCTCCCTTGGTGCCTCCTGCATCTCACAGCCCTTGGGCCTCTGTGCTTCAGGATCCAACCCCCCCACCACCACACCACACACACACGCACAAAAACCCTAACAAGGCAGACTCTGTTGCACAAAAGAATGGCGCCAGAGCAAAAGGGAAAGCGAGAGAGAGAGAAAGAAGTTCATCCTTCGAGGGGCCTCCCCGTTTGAGCTTCCCCTGCCAGCGAACCCCTGCTAGCCTTGAGGCCACCCAAGATACCTGTCCCCTTCCACCGCAAGGCTTGGGTTGCCAGCTCCAGGTCGGGAAATTCCTGGAGATCTGGGGATGGAGCCTGGGGAGGGACGGGGGGGTACTATTTGGTTCGAGTGGGTCTAAGGCCGGAGAGTCCACCTTCCGAAGCATCCTTCAGGCGAACGGGTGGCTTGGAGATGCGCGGCGCTAACGTGGGACACCCCCCCAGGCCCCACCTGGAGGTTGGCATCGCTACGCCTGCGGCAACCCCTCACCACCACCCCGCAGCTCCCGCTCCGGGCGACCGCGGTCAAGGGAGCTCGTGGGAACGCCGCCACCGACAGGGCAGCTCGCTCCCCGCAGCCCCCCCCCTTTCCCCGCGCCGCAGGAGAAGGGCGCCCCCCCTCCCGTCTCCCTCAGAGGGGAGAATAACGGCCGCCGGCCTCAGGCGCGGCCAGCCCCCCGCTCCCTCACCTGCCCGCCTCACGAAGTCGCCTCAGCCGTCAGCCAAGCACCGAATGACGGGTCCAGCCTGCGCGCGCCTCCCTCCCTCTCTCGCGCCCGGCCCCGCCCCCTCCCCCCACCTTTAGATCGCACGAGCGCAGCGACCGCCTTGACGTCACGCCAAGGGGCGGGGCCGACCGCCGGGAGGAGGGGGGCGCCGCGGCGACGTCACTGCGCGTCCAAAGGTGAGCGGCGCATGTGTCGGGGGGGGGCGCTGCTCTTCTCCCCTCCCCTTCTTGGGAACGGGGGTCACGTGTTCGGGCTCTGGCGCGTGTGAATGCGCGCCGCGCGCGCAGTCCGTCTAGTTCGCCTCTTGCGCGCGCGCGCGCGCTTGGTGGCGGTCCTCCCCTGCCTCGCTGAGCCAAAGCACGTCCTCGGTGGCTCCGCGCAGGCGCGCGCGCGCTGGTTGCAGGCTGGAGTTAACACCTGTCTGGGCAGCGCCCGGGTCGCAGGTTTTGAAAGAGCCTCCTCCGGGCCGAGAATGTCCAGCCACTGTTCCCTCTAAGCTGAGTTAATGTGAGCCGGCTCACAGTTCTTTGGCCTCCGGCGCACACCTTTTTGTCTCAGCTCAGGAAGGATGTGGCTCCAGAGCAGACTAATTGATGCGGGAGCCAAAGCTCCTAACTCAAATGCCAGTGGCTCACAAAGTAGAATCTTTGCTCACCAGACTCCACAGCTTAGTGGGAACATTGCGGCCAGGGCCCCTTTGCCCTCCTCGGCCACACGTGCCCTCCTTCTTCCCGTCCCCTATCCGCGAGCCTCTCTCCGACTTGTCCTCCCCTGCCCGCTGTGAGCTCTCCCGCTGCCCATGCTCGTCACCACCCCAGTGGCACTGGGCAGCGAGCACTGTTCCCTCTAAACCAGAGGTCATTTCGGGGGGGGGATCGCAGTTCCCCCATACCCTTGGACTCTGCTGCTTCCAGTCTTACAGGGCCGGCCTGCTGCTAGAGGGGATGGGGGGGGGTGAACCCCGATCTCCTCCCAGCAGGTTGTGCCCATTGCTTGCCAGTCTTCATCCCCTAACCTGGCAACCCAAATGGGAAGGGGGGGGGGGAATACTAGCCAATACGTGGAGGAGGAGACTGGATTTACACCCCGCCCTTCACTACCGAAAGGTGTCTCAGAGCGGCTTACAAACTCCTTTCCCTTCCCCTCCCCACAACAGACACCCTGTGAGGTCGGTGGGGCTGAGAGAGCTCTGACAGAAACTGCTCTTTTTTCAAGGACAGCTGTGCCAGAACTATGGCTTGCCCAAGGTCATCCAGCCAGGTGCAAGTGGAGGAGTGGGGAATCAAACCCGGTTCTCCCAGATTAGAATCTGCGCACTTAACCACTACACCAAACTGGCTGGGGGAATCTATGGTGTACCATAGAGCTTGTCCGCTGAAGCTGCCATTTCCTTCCAGAAAACTTACCTGTTGTCTGGAGATCAGTTATAATTCCAGGAGATCTCCAGGCCCCACCTGGAAGTTGCCAACCCTAACTGGGACTGAGTGGCCGTCCCTTTCCCCCATGCCAGGGTATCAACGCTCATTGCACTATCCCCTTTTGAAGACTTGCTACAGGTAGCTTATGTGCAATGCTCTCTCTAAGCTGTGAGCAAAAAATTCTACTGGCCTTAAGGTTGTGAGTGAACGATTTGGCTACTGAATAAATTAGTTTGCTCTGGAGCCATCCTTCCTGAGCTAAGACAAAAAAAGTGTGAGCTGGAGGCTAAAAAAACTGAGCTTACTCACACTAACTCAGCTTAGAGGGAACACTGCTCATGTGCCCGATATGCTTTCTTTTGCTGGAAAAACTACAGCAAAGGAAGGTGATTTGCACTCAGAAACAGGTGGGGATAGAGATGTAAAATTTCTGGAAATTTTGAAGCTACGGGGGGAAATATGCTTTCTTAAAAATCCAGGCCTGTATGCCATATTCATTTCCTTATGAAACTGCTTTAATAGCATCATCTGCATAGTTTATTATTTAGCATATAAAATGGTACTATTTGGCTTATTTATTAAACATAGACGTATAAATACTTTAGTCTTCGACAAGCAAAATTAGAAATGAATATGGCATACAGGCCTGGATTTTTAAGAAAGCATATTTCCCCCCGTAGCTTCAAAATTTCCAGAAATAGACCCAGTGAGAGAGAGAGAGCTGCAAACGGCTTCATCTTTTGCTGCCTTATCCCTACTATCTTAATTTTTTCCATCGGGGGGGGGGCATGGGGGAAATACAATTCAGATTTGAAAACAAATTTCGTAGTAAGCCAAAGAAAAATGTATCATTTGGAGAGAAACAACCTGCTTCCACCTGGGTGGTAAACTCTGCCATGAGGAGGGCGGGGGTCCATGATGGCTTTGTGGTGGACCATCTGCTTGGAATACGGAAGGTCCCAGGTCCAGGCCTTGCAAACTGCAGTTATAAGGACCGGGCACTACGTGATGTGAAAGACCTTTGCCCAAGATCTTGGGTTGCTGCTGCCATACTGCTCTAGATGGACCAAGGGTCTGACTTGGTATAAGGCAACTTCATGTCTTCATGGCTCTCAAACTAGAGTGGGCTGTTTTGGAGCAACATCCCCTTCCAGTTGTTCTCCTTCCATCTCCTTCCTTGGTTTTCTCCTGGTTTGGCCTGATGTTTCCCAAACCTTCTTTGCTCTGATCTTTCTGGATAGATTGTTTTTAAAGTTGGTGTATGCCCACCATGTAGATGGGAAGGCAAAGACTTCTGAACCTCCTACCTCAACACCACTTCCGCCACAAATGTTTCTTTGTTTCCTCTGTACAATGTATGGGTAGTAGGGTTTCCGACTGGGCAGGGGGAAGGGGGGCAGGACTTCTCTCGTCCCATGAGCGGAGATTTGATAAGTATAAATCAATGGTGTGACCTCATTTGGAGTACTGTGGACAGTTCTGGTCACCACACCTCAAAAAGGATATTATAGCCTTGGGAAAAGTACAGAAAAGGGCAACTAGAATGATAAAAGGGTTGGAACACTTTCCCTATGAAGAAAGGTTAAGGCGCTTGGGGCTCTTTAGCGTGGAGAGACCAAGTTTCTTGGACCAGAATAATATGAAAACTCTGTAGATATTCACTAACACCAGGTTCTTATTTTCTGTTCATCTGTGCGCCTAGGTGGGGGGGGGGGGGATCCATTGTCGTACTCTGTGGACCAGATGCTGCTTTTTTACTTTTGCTTCTGTACTGCTTGCTTATCAATGACCTTGCAGGTTGCTGGTGTAGTGTCTGGGATGCCGGGAACCGTGGGAGCGCTCTCGGTTCCCAGCTGCGGCCTCTAACAGCCTGGGGATCCTTCTCCCGCATGTAGGAGCCTGGCTAATTGGCATGTGGAGAGGGGGGGGCATACGAATACCCTATATCCCATTATGCTTGTAGGAACATTGCCATTCTTAACAGTGACTTTGTTACTGCCTCTATAGCTCTGCAATAAAGTATAACCTTTCTGACAAGCGTGTACTCAGTTGTTGGCTGTGGAACCTGACATCTACAACTCCAGGCCGAAATATTCCAGGATATGACTTTGATAAACTGAGTTGGAGATAGTCAATTTGATTTGACTTCCACATTAGAAGGATTTGAAGGGGGACTTGGAGAGACGACGACTGAGGGGGTGACATGATTGAGGTTTACAGGATTATGCGTGGGATAGAGCAGGTCGAGAAAGAAGTACTTTTCTCCGTTTCTCACAATACAGGAACTCGTGGGCACTCAATGAAATTGCTGAGCAGTTGGGTTAGACGGATAAAAGGAAGTACTTCTTCACCCAGAGAGTGACTAACACTTGAAATTCACTGCCACAGGAGCTGGCGGCGGTTACAAGCATGGATGGCTTCAAGAGGGAATTGGATAAACATATGGAGCAGAGGTCCATCAGTGGCTATTAGCCACAAGGTATAGATAGGAACTCTCAGTCTGGGGCAAGTGATGCTCTGTATTCTTGGTGTTGGGGGGGCAACAGTGAGAATGCTTCTAGTGTCCTTGCTCCACTGGTAGACCTCCTGATGGCACCTAGTATTTTTGGCAACTGTGTGACAGAGTGTTGGACTAGATGGGCAAATTGTCTTCTCTTGTGTTCTTATCAGAGACTTCTAGAGTTGAGCATAAAGAAGGCAAATACCATAGAGCCTGAGGAAGAAGTCACATAGGTATCAGGGCTCCACCCACTACAAACCTGCCAAGCAATTAGCAGTGCCCAGAACCAGTGAAAGTGAGCAGCCCTACATGTACGTATCATGCCTCCTGCAACTTACCTGGCTGCTTCTTGCTCTGACTGAGGGCTGCTGGGAGCAGGGGGCGGGGCTTGTTGCATGTGCCCGCCCCCTGGGCTCTTTACTGCCGGAGCTCCGCTCCTGTGCACTCTTGCAGGAAATGACCCCTGGTGGGAGGGCTTCTGGAGTTCTGGCCCCACTGCTGGACCTCCCGATGGCACCTGGTTTTTTTGGCCACGGTGTGACACAGAGTGTTGGACTGGATGGGCCACTGGCCTGATCCAACATTGGCTTCTATTATGTTCTTATGAGACTAGCAGGTGAAACTCTAGATGGAAGGAATACTGGAAGCCAGGGCTGAATTGACCAGGATGCCTTTCTAGGTTACTGGTAGGATATCATCCCAGAGGTAGGGGAATGTTGTCCTCTTACCTAACATGACTGTACGTTCCCTATCATTAGTCAGAGTACGAGGGAGGGAGGTTGGCTACAGTACTGGAAAACAAGTCCTGAACTGGAGGCGTTTATAAGTATCCCCAAAGGCACTCAGTTGCTTCTCCCCACAGCAAGAATCCTGGTGCGTGTGTTTATTCAGTCACATGGAAAAGAGACAGCTTCTCCAAAAGAGACTGTAAAACTCTGAACACAGAGGAAAGCATTTTGTGCCAAGAAGACTCTCTTGGATCAGGGATGGACCTGCTGCTAGATGCCGTCGCGCTTCTCTGCAGCCAAAAAGGCACTCAGTTGATGCGCTGAGAACATCTGATTCATTCAAAGCCTGGCCCCTGAAAGCTCGCAGGACTGGGCTAGAGGCCAGCCCGTTCTCCAGAGCTGGATGCAGACCAGGTTCGGTTCCCTCTTTAC